GATGTATTCAACTTCCATATTTTGTATCTATGTGTGTTTTAATATCATATACACTTATATATGTACACACTTATAAAATATGTACAGACATACTTTATAAATGTTTTTGATTGCTTTAAAAATGAGTTATTTTGTATCTATGTGTGTTTTAATATCATATACACTTATATATGTACACACTTATAAAATATGTACAGACATAATTTATAAATGTTTTTGATTGCTTTAAAAATGAGTTGTTATGTACAATGCTCTCAATCACATTTTTATTTGAACAATACTTCATCTAAATGACATGGAATATATTAGTCTATTTAGCATTTTTAATTGTGTAACATTCCATTTAATTCATGTATATTGTTTTATTTGACAATTCTCTTTTGGTTCTTTTTATTATTTTTAAATTGTTTTTTTTCTGAATATTTCCAATCCATGGCTGGTTGAATCCAAGGATTGGAACCTGTGCATACAGAGGGCAGAGTGTATCCTGTCTAGGGCTGCTTTCATGCTACAATGGCAGAGTTGAGTAGCTAAAACAGAGACTGTTACTATCTGGCTCTTTACAGAAAAAAAATTTGCATACCCTGCTCTAAACGCGCCCCAATCCATTGGAGTATCCATCGTAAAGTTGGATACATTTACCCACCTTAAGGCAAGGGGCTGGTCTTTGTACCCTGGTGTCAGGTGGGCATTGGTCGCCCAGGGTTGAGGATGAGGTGTGTGAAGCTTGTTAATCCCAAGGTGGTGACTCCCATCACCAAGAACAATTCTCTGGATACCAGGGGCAGCTGTGAGCTGTTAGCAGCCACCACTTGCAACCACTGGAAGTGGGCACATGCTGGATAAAGGGGATATTTCACCGGCATCCACTGCAGTGTGTACCTGGACCAACACGTGTGTTTCATGAAGCTGGAAAAAATCCATATTTTCCACCTGAAATTGAACCGTCATTATCTCACCTGGATTCCCTGTCACCGTTGCCTTCTGTCCATTCATCCTATTGCTCTCAGGATGAAGCTGGGAACACTTAACGAGGTCCACTGGGCCCTGCCACCTGCCCAGCCTCATCTGCTTCACTCTCCCCACACTGTATTCTCCCGCCGTGCGTGGCCAGAGCCCAGGGGGCATTCCTTCAGGTCTGAGCACACAGCTTCCTCCAGCATGGTTTTGCTCATGGTGAATCTTCTGCCTGGAACACCCTCCCTTGTGCCTCCAACCTGCCACTGCTCTAGACTAACATCTCTCCTTCATCCAGAACTCAGCTCAGAGAATTTTCCTCCGAAAAACTTTGAACTTCTAGCCCCATAAATCCCTTTCCCCGACAAGTAGCCAACATTCACTTTGTACATCTTTACATATTGTTTTCTGTCTCATGCAAACCACGGCACAAAAAATGCATAGATTTTCTTTAACAAAAATGTCATATTATTTGCATTACTTTGAAGCTTGTTTTTTGCCTTTAACAACATAAACCATAAGAAACTTTCCAGTTCGATGTGTATGGAGTGAACTCATTTTAATTCATTTTTCTAACAGCTGCATGATATTCCACCATGTGTGCACATAGTATGTGCATCATATGTATTATAATAATTTAAATTCAATTCTCATGCCGATATTGTTGAGAGTTCAGATTGTTTCTGTGTATATGTGTATGTTTGCATTTTCCAAAGAATGGTACCAAAAACATCTCTGAACAAAAATATCCCTACATTCTGAAGCTTATATTTCTGTAGGTTCAGTCCCTAGAAGTGGTGTGGTTTG